TCCATCCCTAATGGTGTGTGACCTTGTAGGCCCATTCGAAGTGGCAGTGGCTTCGGAAACCTTTTCCGAACCACAAGTCATGGTTAGCCTCTAGCAAGACGCCATGACTACCCACCTAGAATAGAGTTAGAGGTGATCTAACAAAGCCAGCAATAGTTCGAGTTCTGATCCTTTGTCTCACGATGTCGTATGTTGAACAAGGGCATGGTATGAGCCACCCTTCAAGTTCAACTGCTTTCTCGTCTTGACAAATCGACTAATAAAATAGATGCAACTTCATCTATAGCGTGGCCACGCATTTTCACAGTCCGATTTCCACGAGGGGCCCAACGACATCTGTCCTGCGTAGGAGGTGACAAGTCTCGTATTGCATGTCTACTATCTGCATATGATTCGTGAACGTATCTGAGCAACGCCGTTGTGATCATCCGGTTAAAGACGACGTTTGACGCAGTCAAGACACGTCACTCCTCATATCAGATACTCTAGACATCTCAGGTCTGAGGATCCAAGAATGAACCGCTGTATGAGATTCAAGTCATGACTCGTGTCCATGTGACAATCTCATGCGGGTCATCCAGTAACTCGTTCCAAACGAGAACCCATGATTGTGATTTGCATCTAATGCATATGATCATAATCATCTATCACACATCATGCTGGTCTTAATTCATCATTGTTCCCACAATGATAACTGACCAGGGAATTTAGAATCATCTGCAATGATTCAAGGATATTTACCGTAATATAACAAACATGCTAATCATATAACGGGAAAAGTAATGCATTCATAAATCAATGAATCAATACAAAGTCAAAATGTCATATCACGAATCATCCTAGAGCATCACAACCAACAAAATGTACCATGTGTCTTACCTTGAAACTTTGTCTCGATTCACTTTGATTACAATAATGAAATGTTGACAAAGTATATCCATCAATTGCCATCTCTGACAACCACATTGATTTGCAGATAAATCAACCGAATAAATAACATCACACTCAAACACCTCATATTTTCTGTGTCCAATCCTTATCATGTGACAATGTCGAGCTCGGTTTTGGATGGTATCTGTAACGACCCGAGGCCGCTATGGAATGATAGAGTTATCCCCACATACCAACACGAGACCTTTTAGCGTGTTTTGTCCTCACTCGCACACATCCCGGAAAGTACTTCCCAGGAGGTCACCCATCCTAAGACTACTCCAAGGCCATCACACTTAACTTTGGAGTTCTCTCGAGATGGACAAGCGAAAAGGTAGATGCATCTTGTTGCTATGAGTAGCTCAATTAATTCCTTTAAGTTATCTTAGATTGTGTAGTCCCATACCTACACAGCCCTCGGATCTCTCTCATTCCGGTGCGTTCGATTCATCCGTGTATCCCCTACCCAGAAGCTTGTCAGGAGCCGCCCATTGTCCATGCCTCTCGCACCGTCGATCACTCCCTGCCCTCCTACGGTATCCTGGGCTGTCACAGGCCCACCAGCTTCCGCCTGGTTCGTCCTCGAACTACACCGTACTGGGAGAGAACCGGCTCTGATACCATATATATATATATATATAACCCATCCTAAAACTACTCCAAGGCCAGCACGCTTAACTTTGGAGTTCTCTCGAGATTGAACGTCATTGTTTTTCAGTAGATTTCTTTCAGCATGTAAATTATGGGCGGTATACGGGCTAATTTGATCGAATCATTAAAACTCTATGAGAAGTTGTTTTGAACGTCATTGCAACGAGATTCAGGATTGCAAAATGCTCCACACCACTTCCTTGGATTAGCCCTCATAAATGTTTCACCCCTTCTACTCCTCTATTTAACAAGCAATTTAGTGGTTGTTCGCGCCAACCCTTCTCCGACCAATTGTCTGATATCAAGAGTGTATTGACCCCCTCATATTGAGGTTATGGGTTCGAAACCCGAGTATGAAAACTTCCCTGAGTCGGTCAGTTTCGGCTGGTTTATCTGCTTTGTGTGGTTTACCGTCTATTACGCAGAATTGGAGGTTTACTATCCGCGATACCGATTGTCTGGTCTGAGGGCTATGAGACGATGTAGGGTCCGGTCCGAAGGACGTATGGTTCCCACCGTTATAAAAAAAAAAAAATAGTGTGCCACCCTTTGGATCAATATATACAAATCTTATAAAAAAAAAACTTTAGTGGGTTTATTCAATGGCCCAAAAAACACCCCTCTTTGCCCTTATAGATATTTAAACCCTAATTTCCTAATTTTCAGCTTCTCCCTCTCACGCAGAAACCCATCAGTAGCGCACCTCCAATTCGTTCTTTCCCACAGAGCTAGCTAGGGTTTGTTTTATTCTCTCTCTACAATGACCCTTAATCTTCTCTACGAATCGTCCTCAGGCTACGCCTTGTTCGAAGCGCATGGACTTGACGAGATCGGACAGAACACCGAAGCTGTCCGGAGCTCTGTTTCGGACCTCAACCGGTTCGGTCGGGTCGTCAAGCTCACAGCGTTTCACCCCTTCGAGTCCGCTCTCGATGCTCTTAACCAAATCAACGCAGTCTCCGAAGGTGACAATGCACTAGCATTCTTTTCCCTCGCTTTCACTGTGTTCTGTTTGGGTCAATGCTGAAAAATGTTAGGGATTGGATAAATAAGAGCTCTTTGTTTGCCTTTTGGTGAATCTATCGTTTGTGCTTGCCTATTGGTTTCATTAGTGTTACCGTCTACAATATGTATATTGATTTCTATCAGACCAGAAAATATCAAGGTTACAGGTGTTTGCGGCTCTGCACTTCGACATTCTGCACATGCTCTGCTTATCTGATTCCTCGGTGCAACCTGATCCGAGGTTGATTTTGATTTTGATTTGGTCCATTCGTTGGTTTGTTTGTACAGGTGTTTCTCTGTTATTCCATTTGTATAGCAACACGCATGTTGCATTTCTGTAGGTTTGTTAGGTTCGTTATTCTCCATCTTACTCTGTATAAATGTAGCCTTGTACAATGAGAGAAGAATCTTTCAATCAGAAAACTTCCATTCATCATCCTTCTTCTCCACAAATCTCTCATTCTTCATGAGGTTATTAATTTGCTCGTGATAAAATTCATTTTGTTGTCCTTGAAATTGGGAGGAATAATTTTTGAGGTAGCACCTTGTAGATATATCTATGAGCTAAACGAAAGGAATTTGACTTCTTTTCTATATTTGGTTGAATTTGAGCATAAGGAAACTTTATTCCCCATATTTCTCGATTTATAGAATGAAACCAGACTATTACAGTGTTTGACAAAGATGGAATCAGCTCATTATATTCTGGTTTTGGATTCGCTTGTTGTTGCTTTACAAGTATTAAGTTTTTGTCTGGGTTTCTCCGTATTTTGCAGGTCTCATGACCGATGAACTGAGGAGTTTTGTGGAGCTGAATCTTCCAAAAGTCAAGGAAGGCAAAAAACCCAAGTTCAGTTTAGGAGTGGCAGAACCAAAACTCGGGTCACACATATGTGAAGCTACTAAGATTCCTTGCCAGAGCAATGAGTTTGTGCTCGAGCTTCTTCGTGGTGTGCGTCAACATTTTGATAGGTTCATCAAGGACTTGAAGGTGTGCATTCAGCATAATCTGATTTTCAGTGATGTTTCTTGGGGCACCTAATTCTTCCCTCTCTCTCTCCTTCCCTCCCTATCCCATACCCCTAACTCTTACCCCGTAATGTAGCCTGGTGATCTGGAAAAAGCTCAACTTGGATTGGCTCACAGCTACAGCCGAGCGAAGGTCAAGTTCAATGTTAACCGAGTAGACAACATGGTTATCCAAGCAATTTTCCTGCTTGATACGCTTGATAAAGATATTAATTCCTTTGCTATGAGAGTCAGGTTGGCTTTATCACTTTTTTTAGGTACACAGTCACCTATTACCTTTAAGAATGATGGTTAAGGAACATCTTATAACCCTTTTGCAGAGAATGGTATTCTTGGCACTTTCCGGAACTAGTGAAGATAGTCAATGACAACTACCTTTATGCCCGGGTTGCTAAAATCATTGAGGACAAGTCGAAGCTCTCTGAAGAGCATCTCCCAATGCTGACTGAAGTTCTGGGAGATGAAGACAAGGCCAAGGAGGTTGTCGAAGCTGGAAAAGCATCTATGGGTATATTTCATTCCTTGCCCATTGCTAGTTAGGTTGCTTTATTCTGTGTTTCTAGTCGTCCTTGTTTGAAGATGTTGTCTGTCTTCATCTTTGCAGGTCAGGATTTATCGCCAATCGACTTGATCAATGTTCAGAACTTTGCTCAGAGAGTTATGGACCTCTCAGAGTATAGAAAGAAGCTTTATGATTATCTTGTTGCTAAGATGAATGACATCGCTCCTAACTTGGCGGCCTTGATTGGAGAAATGGTTGGTGCCCGGTTGATTTCACATGCTGGAAGTCTGACCAACCTGGCTAAATGCCCGTCTTCAACCCTTCAGATCCTTGGAGCCGAGAAGGCACTTTTCAGGTGCCTCTGTTCTCAAGCTTAACGAGTTTAGCTTTTTTGTTAATATATGCAATGCATGAGTTTAATTGGTGTGGTATGACATTCAGGGCGCTGAAAACTCGTGGAAACACGCCCAAGTATGGTTTGATTTTCCATTCTTCATTTATTGGCCGAGCATCTGCAAAGAACAAGGGTCGTATAGCTCGTTATCTTGCAAACAAGTGTTCAATTGCCTCTAGGATTGATTGTTTTGCTGGTAAAAAGTGAAATGCCTTACCACTTTGGGTTTGTGAGATCTGTTGTCAATTCTTTTCCCACTTGATCTGAGTCTTGCATGTTTTTGTATAGAGAGGGGCACTACAGCTTTTGGTGAGAAGCTCCGTGAACAAGTTGAGGAACGGCTTGATTTCTACGACAAAGGCGTTGCACCTCGTAAGAATGTTGATGTAATGAAGGAAGTCTTGGAAACTCTGCAGGACAAAGGTACTGCATTTTAACAAAAAGAAAGTCGAGTGATGATATCCTGAGAGCCCTATGTGCAAAGATTCAGTGTTCAATCTGTGTGCCCTTTAGGAGAAGACAAAGAGCCCATGGAGGCCTCAGCGAAGAAAAGCAAGGAGTCAAAAGGTCAGGAAGGGTATGCCATGGATGAGGACAAACCAAAAGCTGACGCAAACAGTGATGTTAAGTCTGTGAAAAAGAAGGAAAAGAAGAAGCGGAAGACGGAAGAAGAGCAGGAGGAGAAAGCCAACGAGACCAATGAGAAATCGAAGAAGAAAACGAAGAGCAAACGTGAGGAGGACAAGATGGTTGCTGCTAGTGATGGTGATGGCAAGAAGAAGAAGAGTAAGAAGAAGAAGAAATCTAAGATGGAAGATGATGAATAAAAAAGAGAAGCCAAAAAGAAAAGGATCATGTAATGTATTCTTTAGCAGCACTCTTCCCGGTAGTTTTTTTCCCTCTTAGTATTTTTGTTGGCTTTTTGGCTGTAGAATAGTTTTATCCTTTAACCGTAGGTCATGCTTAAAAGACTCTTTCAGATTGGATTTCTAAAAGGATGCAAGTATTTTGAGTCCATCCGCCTAAACTTGAATGGCTTTAGTTTCTGTTATGAATACATTTAATCAGTGTACATGACATGATGTTAATCGGATGGATTCGGGTATTGTGTAGCATGTGGTTGTAGGCGGGTAAACATATATGATTGATATTCCGATGAATGCGACGATTGGAAGTTGAATTGTATGACAATCGATTCGGGTTGAATGTCATACGGATGAGATATGATTGTGATTGTGGCAATATATCTCTATTGTGTCAACGCCCTTACGGACGGTGAGGGCAACCATTGATCTATGTAGTTCAGTACTAGTTGACGAAGGAGTCAGTAGGAAGGAAATACGGTTCGATGGTAACCATGTCAATGTTCCATTAAGCCTAGAGTGAACATCGGGTTGTGTGTGGCCTCCGATGATAGATAAATAAACATGAGATCCGGATAGTTATTTGTGTTCACCGATGTTAGCTGGTATAAATTTATTTTGAAAGGTTTGAACTCGAGTCTGATAAGTATCGATGAGGAGATTATTGTGATTTTTATGAGTTTTCGAGAAGTGTTGAGATTGATCGGGGTGGTACATGTGCGATGCGCATGGAAATGTTACTTCACCTACGTGTGCGATGCACGTAGATAAAAATTGACGAGAAAGACCGGTATGGTCGAGTTATGACTTGTGATTCTAGTCCTCGCATATCGGCTTTGCTTGGACTGATGCGCTTGTGTGTGATAAAAGTATGATGTGATGATCCTCACATGTTAACTCGTTTGGATTGACCTATGCGTGCAATGCACGTGGAGAGAGCTGGCAGTTGTTGTCCGATGATTTTTCTCTTCAGACTGGTTGTGATTGTGATTGTGATGGCTGGTTGATTAAATTAATTGTTATAACAATCATTATGTGTGTGTATATATACATATTCTTGGTCGTTTTCAATGAGTGAAATGTTTAGGTTACACCCAAATCACTCGTTAAACATATAGCTTAGGAGCTAGGGGTGGGTGTTTTCGGGATTCGGATCGGTATTTTAGCGATTCGGTTCGGGAACGGTTTATTCGGTATTTTTAAATTTGTACCAAATTTGTACCGTATATTTTTCGGTTCGGTTCCGGTACGGTTCGATTTCGGTTTTTGTTAAAAAAAATTATATTTTCTTAAAAAAATTTCGGTTTTTCAAAAATTTTATAAAGTTCGGTTCAGTTCGTTTCGGTTCCGGGAAATTCAATTCTATAAAAATCATACCGTTCGGGAATTTTGAACGGTACGATTCGAAAAGATACCAAAATTTTCAGTTCGATACGGTTCGGTTCCGAAGAATCGAACCGAAACGTTCAACCCTATTAGGAACATTGTTATACAACATTTCATTTAGAAGTTTCGTAGAGATGTGCAGAAACCAAATCTGAATTATTTTCGGTTTTAAGGTTATAGGGCAATAGTGAAAGTGGCAAAATCCAGAAGAAAAACTTTGAGTGAAAGAGGAATTGAGTAAATTTTATATGTTATACTTTACATAGCAAAACTTATAGGTTATATGTTATATAACAAAATGACTATATAGTTGTTCACACGGCGTTATTACAAGAATACCTCTAAATGTGCGCAACACTTCAAGCTACACCCTTCGAAATAAGGGTTTCAAAAAAAAACTCTCAAATGGTAAAAGGACATTGTTACCCTTAATGGAAAGGACACATGTCAATGTCAGAACGAAGAAAGCAAATATTAGAGAAGTGACGAAATTATATAAATAAAAAAGATACGTGGTAGGGTTTTGAATTAAAAAAAATATAAAAATCAAATATTGAGCAGTTTTCTTCCCCTGTCTCTTCGTTTCCGCGATTTCTCTGTAACCGTAATGATAGAGTGCGATTTCTCTCTTCTTTGGCGATTTTTGTTGCGATTTCTTCTTGCAATATCTTCTCACTTCAGATGGTTTCGTCTCCTTTATCGTCTTCGACTCCTATTTACGAAGATATCCAGGTATGTGTTGTACTTGAACTTACTGAGAAAGTGAGATGTTTTTCTTAGAATTTCATGTATGTGTGTTTGGGTAAACAATAAACGAAAACAAAACCGACTAAAATGGCTCATATTTGTGTAGTATGGATTAGAAAAATACGGATTTCGGTAAAAAAACTGAGAAACATTGTTTTGCTCAATGTAATATGGAACTCGAATCATGGTTACAGTGTCCAAATGAGTCATATTAGGTCATATTAGTGGAGTTATATAGTTCAGAAAACTTAGGGTTTCGGTTAGAAAGTGGGAACTAAGATTTTTCACAAAGTCGAGTCATATTGAAGTTGTCATGGTGAGACAAAATGGTCGTACTAGTCACAATGGTCACACTTGAAGGGTATAACGAGTTAGACTAGTCTCACCAAACTGGTAAAAATGGTCACAACCAGTCACACTTGTCAAACTGCACACGATGCTAATTTGGTCAGACTAGTCACACTCGTCGCACCTGAATGGTACGACGAGTTTGACAAGATTTGACGAGTTTGATAAATCTGGTTATTATTGAAATAAAACTGATAATAAATGTTAATTTTCTTCTTGCAGGTTTCTTTTGTATATGATTTTAACGACATTCATCATGCTCCCAAGATCACAACAATGTGTTATCTATTTCAAACCATCCCTTCTCTTAAAAAGGTTCTAACAAACGAAAAATGGGCATATTTCAACAAAGAGTCACAGTTTCGACATATTTTCCATCTTCAATGTGAACACACATTAAAGATGGTTCCGGTGTCTGTCCTTTTACATCGCGCACTAAAGCTTGAAGGAAACGTGAAAGAGTTGTGGTTTATTCTGAATGGTGTACCCGTTAGATACTCGATCACCGAACATGCCATTATCTCTTGTCTAAACTGCGAAAAGTATCTAAAAGATTGGGCTGAACGCAGAGGACACGTGTTTCGGATGAAAATATTCAGACCTTCTAAGGTGACTATATCAGGAGCATTGGAGAAGTTGAATAACACTCCAACCACGGATACGGAGGACAGAAAACGATTAGCAATAATGATTTTGCTAGGCGGAACAGTAGACCATGGTATAAAGAGCAATGATGTGATTTCCAATGTCTTAGTTGATATGGTCGAAAATCTGGAATTCTGTGAAGAGTTTTCCCTGGGGGAGATATACCTTCGAAAAGATAGTCGATCAAATATTGAAGATATATGCAAGCGATCCTAAACCGAAGGACAGATGGCATTGTCCAGGATTTGTAATACCGCTCATGGTGAGTATGTTTTTATATGTATATTTTTTTAATATGATTGAGCATTCAAGTATAGATGTTGCTTGATTTAATTATTTGGTATATATGTTGCAGTTGCTTCCTTTTGAATGTGTGGAAAGTTTAGACGCAAACGGATGATATATGGATGTGGAAGGTGTCGATCCATCGTGTCCTAGGATGTGCAAGAAATGCATCCAACCGGGTCTCTTTGTCACACATTCAAACGTGATGAAACGCATCGGTGTAACCTCATAGGTATGTACTATTGTCATACGAGTTAAATATGTTATAATGTTGTCACTGATTACACGAGCTATTTTGTCATGGTATTCGAAGTGTTCTTCAAACAGAGGGGGAAGAAGAACATATTTTGTTTAATCTACATGAAGATGAAAGTAGTCATCCACTGGTAAAAAGTTGGATGCATCAATTGACGATGAATCCTGTGACAACCCAGAGTACCGTAGGAGGGCGGGGAGTGATCGCTGGTGCAGAGGCACGTACAAGGGGTTGTTCCTGACGAGCTTCTGGGTAGGGGGTACATGGATGAATCGAACACACCGGAATGAGAGAGATCTGAGGGCTGTATAAGTATGGGACTATACAGTCTAAGATAACATAAAAGAATTAGTTGAGCTACTCATAGCAACAAGGTGCACCTACCTTTTTGGTTGACTATCCCGAGAGAACTCCAAAGTTAAGCGTGCTGGCTCTGGAGCAATCTTAGGATGGGTGACCTACTGGGAAGTGTCTGGTATGCGTGTGAGTGAGGACAAAACACGCTGAAAGGTCTCGTGTTGCTGTGTGAGGGTAGTTTCGACAATTTGTAGCGGCCTCGGGCCGTTACAAATCCGAATAGTATTTGTTATGAAAGAATTCGTCAGCTTGATGTCGATAGTAGGAAGAAGAAAGTCAAGGGAAAGAAACGTCTTGAAAAAGCAGAAGAAGAAGGTGAAGAAAAAGGTTCCGAGGAAGAAGAAGAAGAAGAAGGAGGAGGAGGAGGAGGAGGAGGAGGAGGAGGAAAAAGAATGGAAGGGGGAAAAGAAGAAGAAGAAGAAGAAATACCCTTTGAAAAGATATTGTAGGATGCAATAAAAGCCTCAGAAAAAAAGATTATTGCAAAAGTCGAAAGGAGAATAATGGACAAAGTGGAGAGGAGGATAATGGAAAAAGTTGAGAAAGTTATGAAGAGGGTAGAAATCACCATTGAAGCTGTGGAGTGGTCAGAGGAAAAAAACAACAAAGAGGATGATGTTGATGTTTCAATGGAATGGTCAGAAGAGAATGCAGCTTTTTCACATCATGGACGAGGTATGTTCATACATTAACATTTATTTTATTTGGGTGTTAACATTTGTATAGTCACACCAGTCACATTTATTTGGTCTGACAAGTGTGAACGGTTTGACCATTTGTATTTATTGTTTAATTGATCATATGCAGGGAATGATGAAGATATTCCTTCTATTCCTAGGACCGCTTCTAAGCAGAAATCTGATGGTGCTGAAGAGATTGATGAAGAGATTCTTTCTTCTCCTAGGACCGCTTCTGAACGGGAATCTGAAAAGGCGGATGAGATTATTGCTTCTCCTAGGGCCGCTTCTGAGTGGGAATCTGAAAAGGTAATAGAGAATGCTGAAGAGATCCTTATACTCCTAGAGCGACTTCTGCTGAAAAGGTTCCTATTGAGGAAGAAGGAGAAAATGTGCTGCTCTAGAGAATCCGATTAATCAGAATAAACGACCGACACGCAAGAGAAAGATGACTGTTAAAAGTCTATACACTGCATTTGGTTCGACAGATCCACCTCCCAAAAAACAACGGGCAAAGAGAGAGACCAAAGGTAAAAAAGGAAGAAATGGAAGAAAGGGGAAAAATGATCATGTTGAATCTGATCCAAAAGAGTCTTCTCCCAATGAATCTACGGCCCAAATGGATGAAAAGGATAATGTGGAGTCTGATCCCAGGAAATCTCCGGCCCTGATGGATGATGAGGTTCCAGTCGAATCTGCAGAGGTCCCGATGGAACCTCAGATTTCTACCGCTGAAGGTAAACATGATTTTTACGTATGGATTCCTCGACAGCCTGTATTATTCGACAATGTTGTGCGAGCGGAGTCTTTTGTTGAAACGAGCACAAAAAAAGTAAATGCTCCATTCAGATTTATGCAAAAACCAAGAGAAGATAGGTTCTGGATGTCGGGGTTGAAAGAGACAAGAAAGCCACAGTTTTGGGATGAACTTTTACAAGAAGGTGTATGGCTCACTGACGATGTAAGTATTTTGAAAATAGTTTATACTAGTTTGGTTAGTTCGACCATTCATAGTGTGTTTGATTGTTTATTTTTTTTACAACATATCAACGAAGCAATGTTCGAAATCCGTCAACGTGTTCCAAATCTGGCACTTGTCCACAAAAAGTTCTTTCTTTGTGATGTGCAGTGGTTTGAATACTTCAAGTACTGGAAAATATGGCAGAAAGAACTCGGCGGTATTGGACAATACATCAATGGAGATTTACCACTTAGAGGTGGAGGCCGAAAATTGGACCATTACAAAGGTTTCATTAGCGTGCTGAATATTCCGTCATTGACAAATCCTGACATAAGCGTCCATTGGGTGACCATTAAAGTGGACTTCTCCAACACTGTAATTCAAGTGTATGATTGCAACCCGAAGATGAAGGCGGCCACCCTTAAAAGTCATTCATAACTTATGCAGAACTATCCCAGATGTCTTCAAGAGGAGCGACACCGGCCAAATTGATACCTCATGCATGTTTTCCATGGAGGTAGTGTCCGACCTACCTCAGAACGAAATAGGAAATGAATGCGGCATTTACTGCATCAAATATGCGAAGGCACTCTACAAAGGTAAACCAAAATTATTGGGACAAGTGAACGATGAGATGATATATTTTATACGGGAGAAAGTTGCCTGTGATATATTTGCTAATGGCAAGGAAGTCACGATACCTCCAGAAGAACGCCCAAAGTCTTCGTCATGAACCTGTAGAAGAACGCCCAAAGTGTTCGTGAAGAATCTCTATTGTTCTTTGTTCTTGATAATTTCTAAATTGAACCCATGATACTCTTTCTAATCAGTTGTACTTAATCATGTCTACTTTTAGCCTTGAATCTCTACGAATATCTTTTTAATCATATGTATTTAATTGCATCTAAAAGTTTTGGTAAACTTTATGTAGCACTATCACACCCGTCAAACAGTTGCACCGTCACACTTGTCAAACCGTCAAACCGTCGGACTGGTCAAACCGTTTCACCAGTCAGACTGGTCAAACCGTCTCACCTTATTGCAAATTTGACAATTGAAAACGCTAAACGTATTGATAATCACCCCAGTGAACAAGTGTCTTGGCTCGAAACCAATCCTAGATCTCTACATTTGAAACCTTTTCATCTTTGAGACAATGCATGTTCTCCCAAGCACTACACTAAGGGTTTAGTAGAGTTTGTGTAACACATTGACTTAGGGTAAGAAATAGTTTTTTTCTGCATGAGTTACGGTTAACGAAAACTCGTTAAATATGTTATAATAACCTCTATCCACCATATTGAACCATCGAAACTTAATTTAGACCAACGGTTTGTTTTCACAAACCGTCACACCCGTCAAACAGTTACACCGTCAGACCCGTCACACCCGTTTCACTGGTCAAACCGTCCCACCTTATTGAATTTCGCGAATTTGACAATTGAAAACGCTGAACGTATTGATAATCACCCTAGTGAACAAATGTCTTGGCTCGAAACCAATCCTAGATCTCTACATTTGAAACCTTTTCATCTTTGAGACAATGCATGTTCTCTCAAACACAACACTAAGGTTTTAGCAGAGTTTGTGTAACACATTGGCTTAGGGTAAGAAATAGTTTTTTCTGCATGAGTTATGGTTAACGAAAACTCGTTAAATATGTTATAATAACCTCTATCCACCACATTGAACCGTCGAAACTTAATAGACCAACGGTTTGTGAAAACAAACCATCACACCCATCAAACAGTTACACCGTCACACCCGTCAAACAATCAGACTGGCCAAACCGTCTCACCTTATTGAATTTCGTGAATTTGACAATTGAAAACGCTGAACGTATTGATAATCATCCTAGTGAACAAGTGTCTTGGCTCGAAACCAATCCTAGATCTCTACATTTGAAACCTTTTCATCTTTGAGATAATGCATGTTCTCCCAAGCACTACACAAAGGTTTTAGTAGAGTTTGTGTAACACATTGACTTGGGGTAATAAATAGTTTTTTTTCTGCATGAGTTACGGTTAACGAAAACTCGTTAAATATGTTATAATAACCTATATCCACCACATTGAACCATCGAAACTTAATTTAGACCAACGCTTTGTGAAATTATTTTCACAAACCGTCACACCCGTCAAACAGTCAGACTAGTCAAACCGTTACACCAAAGTCTTCATCATATGATTCAAATACAAATTCAGAATGAATGTATTATATAATACAAATACAAATACAAATTCATGACTCATATGTCGGTGATATCGTTGACGTACTAACCGAACCTAACGAATATGACTTTCTTTTTCGAGTCTCACCAGGTCCAGAAAATCGGTTCTGTTTAGGCCTTCCACTCACCCGTTTTTCTTCCACTATAGGCGATAAAACCGTCATTTCTCAACGAACGATGGTAGATTCCTATCACAATAATCAGGAACCGGATACACAGTCTCTTGGTAAGTCATACGCCATGTATCTCGCCTATAGTATTCAGAACATAGATCGTATATCATATCGCCTTTTCCGATCATATGTGTTGCTGCAATTGCATGACTGCAAGGGTACCTATCCACATCAAACATTCTGCAACCGCATGTTCTTTCTCCAAGATTAACCAAGTGTCTTCTACCTTTGTCATCCCTCACCTCAAACTTGTCAGTAACACGATTCAGTTCTTGAACCCTCTCATAACGTTCATGCAACTCTTCAACAAGATGTTTGTATGTCATATCAGTCGGAGGAAAAAGGAATATCACTCCTTTGACATCTTTAACTTTTTCTTCCCATTCATATTCCCCACTCGAATTCACTGTCCACTTGCAACCAGACTTGTAATAAATAATCGCCATTTTTTCATCACCTGCATCCATTATGACTGTATAAAATAAACACAAAATGTGAGGTATATGATGACCAGTTTGACGAGTGTGACCAGTTTGACGAGTATGACCAGTTTGACGAGTTTGCCCAGTTTGACGAGTATGACTAGTTTGACCAGTTTCGTCATTATGACCAGTTAGACGAGTTTGACGACTGATAATTTCGATGAGTTTTACCAGTTTGACATAGTTTAATTAATGTGATCAAATTGACGAATGTGAATCATGATCATGTTAATTTAACTCAATTAAGTCTACAAAATACGACATGCTATTGATATATATGTTTCATTTTACTCATTTATACCATATGGATCGAATATAAACATGAAAACAAAAAAACCCTAAATGTCCAAAATATATAACGAAATTTAAAGAAGAAAACTTACCTATACACGATATCTATGTTTATTGGATGAAATTATTATAGATTTCGCTTGTTTCTCTCAACAAATTTGGTGAGATTTCACACTGTAGAAGAGGAGCTCGAAGAGAGAGAGAGAGAGGGCGTAATACAGACGCGAAAAAACAGAAGAGAGGAGAGAGAGAGAGCAGGAGGAAAGAGAGAGAGGAAAGAGAAAATATAAAAGATAATTATTTTTATTTTATTATATTATATAAATAAATAAAGGGTATTATAGAAAAACTACATTTGTAAGGTTATATCTGATGTTGTCTTTTTTTTTTATGGAGGGTATCACTTGAAGTCCAATGTATCATTTAAGGGTGTTTTTGCAATTGGTCCCGTTCACACGGTTCAAGTTCAGAGATTGCGATATTCGACGAGAGTCGTTTTTTCTCGATTGATAAACAACTTATAGTTATACTGAGCTCTAGTGATTGAGGAACTGATCATGTGGATGTACAACGTGAACCTCGTAGAGGTAAACACATAAGAAAAGAAAAGTCATTTGTTCCATACTTTCATATGTACCTAATAGAAGATACTAATGAGTTAATTGAGGGTGATCCTAAAACATATGTCGAAGCGATGAAATCGCATGGCGTCGTCTTCTAGAAAGAAGTGATACATAAGATGGATTTCATCATGAGTAACCACACTTTGATTTTAGTATATCATCTTCCATGTTATAAATCTATAGGTTGCAGATGTATCTTTAAAAAGAAGATGAGAGTGGATGGAACTATAGATAAGTTCAATCATCGTCTAATAGCTCAAGGTTTTTGACAAAAACAAGATATTGATTTCTTTGATATGAATGCACCGATAAATAGAATGGTTAGATAAGATTATTGATTACACTTACTACGATTAATAATCTTATGATTCACCAAATGGATATTAAGACGACATTCCTAAAAGGTGATTTAGAAGAAGAGGTGTATATGAAGCAACAAAATGTTTTGTTCTATCGGGATAAGAGTATAAAGTGTGCAAGTTAGTCAAATCGTTGTATGGATTGAAACAATCACCCAAGCAATGGAATCAAAAGTTTGATGAGGTTGTTTTGGCTAACGGATTCCATTTGAATCAATTAGATAAGTGTTTATATAACAGATTTAAGGATAAAGATCATGAAATAATTATATGCTTATACGTGGATGACATGTTTATATTCGAGACTGAATTAGAACAAATCAATAAAACTGAAAACTTCTTGTCATCAAAGTTTTCGATGAAAGACTTAGAAGAAGTTGATGTTATCCTAGGTATTAGAATAATGAGAGATCATGGTACAATAACACTATTTCAATCGCACTATATTGAGAAAGTGTTAAAACGTTTTGATTTCTATGATAATTCTCCAGTTTCTATATCGTTATAGCGCTAAACTTGTAGCAAACAGTGCGAAACCAGTGTCTAAACTTGAGTGTGCTAGTATCATTAAATGCCTGATGTATGCTATGACTAGCACTCGACACGACATAACATATGGTGTAGACAAGTTGAGTAGATACACTACTAACCTAAGCATACATCATTGACAAACAGTATAGAGAATACTTCGATACTTGTAAAAGACCATAAATTATGATTTGCGCAACACGGGCCAACATTCGATGTAGAAAGATACACGAATGTGAGTTGGAACTCTATTAAAGAGGATCATGCCTCTATGAGTGGTTGGCTATATCTATCAGGTGGAGTTGAAATGCAGGGCTTGCAAGAAATAGACTTGCGTTTTGGATTTGACGATAACATCAAAATTCATTGCATTTGCTTCTACGAAAAAAAAAAGAATGATTAATGAATTTAGTATTTGAAATACCATTACGTTCTAAATCAGTATCATCTATTGCAATTCATTGCGATATTGAAGCAACGTTGGTTAAGATATATAGTTATGAATATAACAGGAAGTCTAGACATTTTTGTTTTATAGTAGACCATCCAAGTATGATTGCTTTTATATTAGACCATCAGAATATAAAACTAAAGTTTACTACAAGTGACAGTTAAAGATAACTGGTAATAATAGAGCTTAGACAATTCGAAAATGTTCCAAAGGTCAGTGTAACAGCTTCTTCCTATTTCAATTATTTTTAAATATCTAGATTTTTTATATTTTGTAAAAGAAGAAAATCAATTAAACAAGCGTTATTTTATAATGTTAAAATCAAATTAAATTTAAATGGTAAAAACCAAATGAATATCTTAGATTTATTTTGGTGCACAAAGATTTTGTTGAGCGGGGGTCTAAGGAAAGGTCCCACCACAAGGATATACTGTAGGGCAAACCTTACATTCCAAAATATTTCTACAATAGACTTCCAAGATTCAACGACAATATGTTAACCGATGCACCAAATGCTTATGTTTAATCGATTAAATTATCCAAATTTGAATTACCATCTCTAATTTTTGCATTTGATTTCGGATTAATATTGATGTTGTTCTTTTCTACACAATTGATAGACTCCAAAATTTAAAACCTAATCCTCTCGAGCCGTATGTGTTCTATTTTAGAGTGGTGAGTATGAGAATCGTTCAACAAGAGTTCAGGATAATGGCCTAAAATTGTATTCATGCTTTTATCCATGGAACAATAACGTGAATCTTTAGATGAAAAGAATTCCTGAGCTCAAACGATTGTAAAAGTCTCTCGATTAGATTATCTTTGGTGGATATCCTCATCACCTAATGTGATGTTTTAATCATTCAGTATAGACATCAAAGTAATCCGACATAAAACATTTAGGGTTAAAAAAAAAACTTGATCTAGTTATAATATTCAGGGTTTTAAAAAAAATATAGGTATTACAACGTTAATGTCTTGGAAAAGTGTGCATATTTGGTAGTGGTAATAGGACTAATCCTTATGTTTTGGGTGAAAAGGGAGTGCTGTTTTCGGCAATGGTTATAGACAGACAAACATTACTACAGAAGAAAACTCACAAAGCCTCTTTCACATGTTCGGGTTTATATAGTTTAATCCCATGTTTGCCAAAAAAAAAAAAAGCGTAAACATCATGAACTTACTTGGTGATAATGAGGTCACTATCTAAGAGTAGTAACTTCTTGGTGGATTTGACAAACATGTTGTCGGTGGGGAGACAAACGTTGGCAGTTTCGAGAAGTCTCGAGCATATCTGCAAGACTTTTTCGTTAATCTGCATATAAAAGGGACAGAGAAGTGCACGGTCATCAGGAAGGATTTCTAGAATGGTGATTAAGAAATCGAGTGAAGAAATTTTACTTTCAGAGCTGAAACAATGCAATTGCAAGCTTCGAGCGCCATGTTACCACGAACAATCTGCAGTGATATTCAATGACAGAGCACGTCATCTTTGTGAGATTCGATCAGAAAAGGAAACTACAAAAATCGGAAATTTGTTCGAGTTTTCGAGTATTATGTACCTCTGAAGACTCTTGCTCAATAGTGTGTACAATTTTATCGAGAACAAGTTGAGTTGTGGATAGAAGTTCGGGCTTGTAAGATGAGTCACCAAAGAAGAGCAAATCATTTCCTATTATCTGTAGAAAATTAGTGAACTATATATAAGATCTGATCTATTAATAGCAAATTCATTGGTCGTATCTCAATTTAAGATTCCAAACCGAAGTACAGTAGGTAGAATCAAAGGCACTGACTACAAAAAGGACCAATTTTCTGGTCACCCTTTCGTCCCTTCTGAGACATATATAATGTGACGAACATATGTTCTTGGAAAAAATAGCATTTAAAAGAGGAATGAGTACCTCCGGATTGGCAACATTGTAAGGAAGTTTATCCTGAGAAAGTGCCGATGACAGTGAAATTATTGCACAGAATATCCTTATCTTCAATCTTGGTGTCGCCCTACAAATATCTTGAGATGTCAGATGAAGCACAAAGGCATGAAAATACCATAAACGTGGAGGATAGGAACTAAACATCACTACAAGTAAATGTACATATTTCAATTTGTATGTCATATCGTCTATATTGATAAAAGTAAAGAAAATTGCGAAATTCATACCATGACCTCGAGCAAGTAACAGAAAATATGCTCTTGGGGATCTCCATCACTCCTTTCTCAGGATTACCTTTGCAAATTGAAGAGAAGAAAAAACTCAGCTAAAACTTTCTAGAAACAAATAGAGAAAAGAAAGCAATGCTCTGGTAATATTATGATGTTTTTGGAGACTTAAGGAAACACTATCAAAGAGATTTCAGATTTCACTCACCTGGGACCATAATCAAGAGGCCGCAGAATTTGCATAGAGTAGAGGCCACGCTATCCATATCAATTGATCTCGAACCTACAGCACAAACTCTCATAGTAATTTTACCATAAAAAGATAAGAAATAACATATAGCGTATAGTAAAATCCATCCCCCTAGAGAGCAGTAGGACATAAAGGGCTCAAAGGAATAAGCCCAATAAATAAAGAACTGAAGATAAAGAAGGGTCAGCAATTGATGATAAGCTGGAGCAGTTCATTCATATAAGAAACAATGATATCATCTATGCTAGAAACAACACCATGAGTTCATGCACGTGCCCTTTATGTATCTCAAAATTGTCAATTAGTTACATGATGAATAGAAGTACAGCTATGATCCTACTCCTCGCAATTTCACTTGTTTTGTTGAATCGTATATCAAGAGCTTGAAGTTCAGAATTTAATAGTAATGAACTCACCATCGATCAGAGCTACATCCTCCAAATACTCAACAGCTGACTCAATCAGTCCATCCAAATGAGAAATTAAACCACCTAAAAGTGCAACCTTCAGAACAAGGATTTCAGTACAAATAGGAAGTTAAATTTTAGTTAAAAAAAAGTGAAGACGTCACCTCAGCAGTTTCAAGATAGAGATTCAATTGCTTAGTGGGAGATGAAACGGATGGGATGGTCACTTCGCTGAAGGCTATGCAAGATTTGACAAAATTATAATGCTTCCTTCCAGCCTTCAAAGCCTTAGTTGCCAAGGTGTTGCTCGAACGGACAAGTGTTTCCTGGAAACATTAATGGTTTTAAAAATCAAAGGTTAAGACAAAAGTGATAAAAGTTCAAAAGCATTTGCTAGTGCCAAAGGCAACCACAATTAAGTGGAATACACTAAACACGTCCAGATTCCCCCTCTCCATGTTTCTTCTCTACAGATATAATACTCTATATGCCTCTCCTCTCATTTTGTGCTTCCACTTTCACTAAACAGATTTAATGGGTCCTACCAGATAAACATATTCCTACATTTTGCTGTAACTATTTTGGACATTACACTATATTAATATTATTCTGCATATTCTTGCATGTCTCCACCTCTATCTTAAACTAACCAGATGCAGAGAAAAAGATAAGCGTGTTCCTGATACCGGGCCTTATTGCGTTAGTGAGGATGGGCAATCAACAACAACAACATCAGCTAAATCTCAAGTTCGTTGAAAAAAAAAGAGAACAGATTCTCTATTTTTATACCACACATCTAATTTTGATACCAAGAAATCAAATGATTTCTTTTTTTTTCTAGACCTAGGCTTAATTGGGAACGTGTCATTAGGAATGATTTGGAATTGTTGCAAATTCTGAGAGAGCTAATTCAATACCAAAACGAGTGGAAACGAAGAATTCATGCGGACACCACTAAATAAACTTGGGATTAAGGCGATGTGGACGTTGATGTAGAAATAAAAATCGTTTTTGTTTTGATCCGATCGAAATAGGACCAGTCAACTGTTGCATCTCAACGCATTTCGGGGAGAACAAGCTAGCTTTGGGTTCAAGTGGCATTTCACCCCTAACCATCATTCGTTGATTTTTCAACATCAGTCGGTTCGGACCTCCACTTAGTTTCACCGGATGATCGAACGCATAATTCTTTATTTCCACTGGGTTAAATCTTTCGAGATTTGCAACAAATTCAAATCATTGTTAACGATTAGTTCTCAAGTGAGTCTAGATCTACTTCTTCCTCTCCTCCTCACACTCTTTTCTGTTTATCTACTTTTCTAACAAGAGTGTCTAAGTAAACATGAGTAATCAAATGAAATAAAGCGGCTCGATAAGACCCTATTATACCTAGAGCTACAACAACAACAACAACATCGCCTCATTCCCAAGTTCATTTGGGGTTGGCCGCATGAATCCTTCTTCTCCACTCAATTCGATCTCGGGTTAACTCTTTCGGAATCTCCAACACTTCCAAATTGTTTCTAATGACACACTCCCAAGTAAGTCTAGGTCTACCTCTTCCTTTCCTTCTCACCCCTATACCTGTACTCTCTACTTTTCTAACCGGCACATCTATCGGCCTATGTTGTACATATCCAAACTATCTTAAACGCCCCTCCTGTACCTTCTCTTCGATACCTATTACTCCTATTTTCTTTCTAATAATCTTATTTCTAATTCTATCCATTCTTGTGTGTCCGCACATCCATCTCAGCATCCTCATCTCGACCACACTCATTTTAGACATATATTGTCCTTTCGCCTCCCAACATTCGCTATCATACAATAATGCGGATCTTATGGCGGTACGGTAGAATTTTCCTTTCAACCGTAGGGGGACCTTACGATCACAAAGAACCCCGTGGCTTGTCTCCATTTCATCCATCCCGCTTTTATTCTATGAGTAATATCTTCGTCGCTAAGGGACACTTATAATAATTCGATAAGACATATACCTAGAGCTAACATCATATAATATAACCCAATTGACACATTGTAGAATAGGCTAAACCTCTTTTAATATGTTTGAGCAAGAGCTGAAGTGGCTCCTAAGAGTACTGTTATAGATATTATATACAATATAGAAAGGATGACTATGAAAAGAAGAAGGCCTATGTTTTACATGTTCAAATCATTTTGAGTGTCCCTCCCATAATTTTGCTAGAACTTTAAAATCAATGATTGCACAAGGGAAGACTCCATGCAAATTGTAATTACCCACCGTTATAAGCTGCTTACAAGACATAAAAAGGCAGGCAAGACTTGAACAGACAAGATCCTCTACACACAAATATATATATATAGCAGAACTATCACTGACATACTAGAAAAGCAACAAGTTACGCTGACCTTATGTTCATTTATGCCACTAAAAGCCCCACGGCACTCAGCCAAAAATGTCAGATGGCGTTCCATCTCTGATCCAAAATCAACCTTAAAGCAAAGCATGGCAATCAATAAACTTGATACAAGAGAAGATATGTATATCGGATACTTGATGATGTAATGGGAAACTTGGCTACCATCTCAATGAAACGAGAAATCAACTGTGATTGTCGTTGGTTGTCATCGTTCTTTATGTTGAAATCTGTAGCATCATAAAGAGACTGCGAAACATCAAAAAGTAACTGCACTGTTGCTGCATCACGTATGCGACCATTCCGGAGATGAAACGGATGGGATGGTCACTTCGCTGAAATCACATATATGCAATTTTACATGGAAAAAAAAAAGAAGAAATTCACAGAGCAAAACATAAGCGATCACAACTAATATATATCCTGCCAAAATAACATTTCAAAGATGTAACAACTATACAGTTCCCAACACTGACAACTAAAAAACATGAAGCCATATTGCATTCCATTAATTAAGAATTTCTAGAGCAATGCATGCTGGAACCAATAAATCATTCAGAGAAAAAGTAGCCCAGCTAGATTACCACCAGAAGTTAAACAGGTAAACTTGTTGGAAGATGTAACATGAAAAGTCAAGACTTATTCATGCATATTCCAGTTTTAGAAGGACGATAACAGGGTTACAAGATTGTTTGACTTAGTACCACCATAATTGTTTCAATGAACATAAAAGGCAAGATCCATCTTTAACTAGAAAATTCAAAACAAAACCGACCAAAAGCAGCAATGAACCCAAACAGCAGGACTACAACCCTATGAGATATCTATGCAATTAATCAGATCCAAATTTTGCAAGATGCCCTTTAACCTCGATCAACCAATCACTGGCTTACAATAGTCTAATATGCCTAATCCAGAATAAATATATGAGTTTGAGGACTCATTTACTGAGTTGTGATGATTGAGTATCGAGCAGACTTACCTAGTTCCCATCTCAAGAAGATGCATGTTTACAGTGCTCCTTGAAGTCCCATACATCAGATCCAATATCTCAATGAAACGATTCTACAAGGTAGTCAGAGAAGAGAAAAACAGCAGTTAGATTAAACCATTTGAAAACAATAGATCTATTGGATGCAGCATGTTGTCTCCCAAAAGCCTGCAAGTCTTTGAAATGAAAGCAAAAAGTAAAAAGTATTACCAGAGAAAGTGCTTCCTGCAAGTCTTTGAAATGAGAGAGGAGTTTCACGAAAATAGATTGCAAGCTTGTTTGTTCGTCCTCAGACACACACTTATTGCGAGCTAGTATTACAATATCATCCAAGACACTATGCAGATGATTTTCCTGTCAGAGAATACCAGGGATAGACAAAGAAAGTATCTAGAATAATGAAATCATAAAAATCTTGAGTGACTACCACAAAGGACTCCAAGAGGCACTTAGGAATCACCATTTTGTGCTGCAACATGAGATCCACATATGCATCTACAACTTCTAGGTAGTCGTTCAAAGTCTCATTCTGGGAAACAGCCTGTTCAAAAAATCATATACCCATTAGATGTCAGCCTATGATCTATATAAAGTTATAAACAAACATCTATTGCATCACTTGATCAAATGCAAAATGTAAAAACAACGAAAGTTAGATTATTAGATTTCTGATGAAGATAAACAAAAGATAAAAGAAATTCAAACACAATGTTTCCTGCCTCGTTTGCTTCATCAACAACAACAAGAACAACATCGCCTTGATCCCAAGTTTATTTGGGGGCCGCATGAATTCTTCGTTTCCACTCATTTCAATTTTGGGTTAAATCATCTGAAATTTACAACACCTTCAAGTCGTTGCTTCATCAACACAATAAAGAAATTTAAACACTATGTTTCGTGGGAAGTTTGCTTCATCAACACAATAATTCTGTCAAATGGTAATGAAAATCCTGTATCTAGTGAAACAGCAGATGCCACCATCCAGAAAATAAAAATACCGAAGAAGTCTAAATCTACCTCACCTAGTATAGTTGAGGGCAAAAGTTTCTAGCTTTTGGTGAAAAATTATTTGTGCATATAGATACATTTAATGTAAAAAACCAGCATTCAGGAAGTAATACGATGCATTATATAGTATACATGGTACACACATGTATAACGGTACAAGAACATTGAGATCCAAAGATTAAAAAATATATTCGTCGCAACAAAACCCAACAACCATCCAAAAGAAATAGAAAATCTGCAAGAACCTGAATAACTTCGCTGATGACTGAACTGAGAGTACCCACGTGAGATCTTTCTTCAGCCAACCTCAATCCAAGTAACCTGTAATTCAAACTCTGCTCCACCAAAATGGCAACAACCCAACAGCAGGTATTAGAAAGGGTGAACTAAAACATTGATTATATATGAAAATCAGGAAACAACCACGGGATAGACTGTTCTTTTCAGTACCTGACTGAAGGAACAATCATTGCTGCGTTTTATCATATGAAGGATCTTCATCGCTTGTGAATTAACTAAATCAGATGGAAGTTCCTTGAGTAAATGATGAAGCAAAATCGATACATGTGGAAAGATGTAGGACGACTCAATTTGGTCCCTTTCAAATGAAAGGTCCTCAAGCATGTTCACGACATAATTTTCCTGAATAAAACCAGACCGACTTTTGTTGAGGAGATAACGTCACATACTTATTAAGGAACAATCACTTGCACAGAGAAGGAGAAGGAGAAGGAGAAGGAGAAATCAATAAGTAACATTTATTAACCTGGCGTGCATTTACCAACAGACATCTCATAATATACTCAACCGCTGGTTCCATCAAATGAAAGAGCTTTTTTTTGTCATCTGTAATATGCGAAGACTTCGTTTCCTTGTCCGATAAAATAGGCATCATGACAGCTTCAATATCCCTAATGCATTTAATAAGATATCCTGTAACATCAAGGCCAAGCTTGTGATGTTGAAGATCTTCCATGGCTCAAATAAGAAAATATCACTTCACAGAAATCTAAACTGTTATGTTGAAACGGTGAACCGCTAACTTCAACTCTCTAAACTAAATTGGAGATGCATGACCCGATGTGATTGATTCATCATCAGACTAAAAGCCTAAAGTTAGTAAATGCTTCATCTAAAGCTATTCAATCACGACCAGGCTAGCAATTCTGAGCTCTTGATTTCACGTATTTAAAAGGAACTAGAATGTTCCCATGCTAAACCCAAGTTGGGCAACCCTCCCCTGCCATCTCTTGAAGTTAGATCGTCCAAAATTTGCAACAATTTCAAGTCATTTCAAATGTTATCTCTTCTATATGTTCTCCATTTTTCTAACCGTAGCATCTATCAATCCACGTTGAACATATCCAAACGGACCAAACCTTGGTTGTAAAAAGTACGAGGCGCATTGAGGCGGTAAAAGTTCCTAAACTCCGAGGCGTGACATGAGGCGCGAGCCAAGGCACACGCCTCTCGTAGATAAGGCGTATTTTTAAATAAAAGAATTTATAGTGTTCACGGTTTGATTTTCAACAGAATTAATATTTAATTGTTTAAAACTAATTATATATTAATTCAACATAACTATAAATTGAATAAAAATAAACAAAGGAAAATTTCAAAATTATATAGATAAATTTAATATTATTGTTATAATCTAAATTTTTTCATAATATAAACAAATTTTTTTTAAAAAAAAATAGGGTAATAAATAAATATTATTTGTTTTGATAAACAAATTAATAATTTTTTTTATAAAAAACAAAAATACTAGTTTTAAATTTTAATTTTTAAACTATATATAAATTTAGTTTTATATAATTTTTAATGAGAAACACTTAAAATTATTTTGATAAATTAATTAATTTTTAAAAAAATTATTATTAATATTACATATGATTAATTTTATTACTTTTTAGTTGATAATAAAATAATTAATTATATTTAAAATCTTATATGTAAATTAATTAAATAAATCGATAGAAATTCCCGTCGAAATGAATCATTTCATTTTCACCTTTATCAAAGGTAATTAAATATGTTTTTCTACCCACCCACCTGCCGACGTGCTTCTCATCCTCTCTCTCTCTCTCATTCACCCACTTTCTCTTTTTCTTTTCTCTTCGTCTTCTACAGTTCTACTTAGACCAACGTTTGTTGAAACACCGGTTAAATGGTTGGTGTAATTCATCCATGACTAATATGAAGAGATATAAGTTTAAATCGGCCCTTGATACAACCCTATCGAGATGGAAAAATCTCGAGTATCACCTTCTACTGTTCGCACACTAGTGGTCGCCCACTAGTGGTCGCCCGTTCACACATAGCCGCCTTCAATACTTATAAATATACAACACTTGGCAAAACAAGAAACATAAGGGTACCTGAATTGCACGAAATCAACTTCTGCATGCGATGCACCATATAGAGGCGACAATACGAAGATGCCAGGGGATTTGCTACACCTCTCACCATCATAAGTAAACGATCCAGAACTTCTATTGGTTGATCAATAAGGAATTGCCAACAAGGTAATATTGCAAGCTCTAAATAACTGTAGAAAGAAAAACAAAGGCAAAAAAACCAGGAGACATGAGAAGGGTGGAGATGGAATTAAGGAGAAAGATGTAAAACAAAAATGTTAATATTTTACATGCGAGGGAGAAGTTCTCTTAGAGAACCAATTTTGCAAAACCAGTTATAGCAAGTCTCCTTTGCTTCAGAGCAGATATCACTTGCTCGGAAACTATCTGTCGTCAGCAAATATTCGAAGAAAAAATTATCAATAATCATATTCATGAATATCTACATAATATTGTTTACTCCAAGGTATATTACATGATAACAATAAGTAAAATTTCCTGATAACAAGAAACACAGGATTAGAAAATAGATGCATACTTGGTAAGAAGCAGATCACTGTACCATCTTCGGCAATTTCAGCTTTGTGCTTGATCCGTTCCCACACCATATCTCCAAGCATATCTAACACCTCAGTTACAACGACGAAGACGGTTGGATAAAACAGTAAAACCGTTGTGTCCGTCAGAAGTTTTGCCACCTGCACAACAGAATACATGGTAATATTATCGCATTACAATAATCTACCTGCGTACAAAATTCACTGGAACCGGAACTTAAAATTCATATCTGATATAGTTTTCGTCTACTAAAGAAAATGCATCTATCACAGAAATATTGAAGCAAAACTAGAATCAAATGTGAAAAAGGTTGTTGAGAGCATAAAGATAGGTTGTGGAAAAGGTTGTTGAGAGCATAAATGTTATAGGTTGGAAAGCTGAAGCTAGGGGGCGAATTCTAACAACCCATCTGGCCAAGAAGATGGCACCTTAATGATAGAGAAACAGGAAACACAATTATATCCAGAAATTCTTCACGTTGTTTATCTCTCAAGGACAGAACTTGAAGTACAATAGTTTTGATGACTTAGGAAGCTAACTGGCTAACCTGTATTGATAACCTCAAAGATGTCACACGATCTTCATTATGCCAAGCCAGGGTTATGCCATCTCTTAGTTCATATACCTTGGCTAGATATTCCTGTGGACTGATCGTTTTTGCAGCCTCCTCTGGAGATATATGTTCACCGTATGTTTCCCCCAAATGTGGAAGTGTCGTAGGTTTTGCAACCACTGAGGATTGCACAAAACAGAAATAACAGGCTTCAAGAGATTCATCCACGACTTCAAAATCCGAAATAAAATTTGTTACGGGAAAATGTTATTACTAAGCACAGGCAAGATACCTTTGGCACCTTTCATAATTGCATTAGATATCTGTAAAAAATGAGTAAACACACTAAGCTCAACGATCAGAATCCAATTAACAACCACAAAATTGTTTCATATAACTGTAGCTTGTAAAAGGCTCTAAAACATTATGGAAAAATATACTTAACCGGAGAAAGAGAAATCACTCTGGAGACGGGGAACCTCTGCATCAAGATTCTTTTAAAAGATGTCCATTCCTTTATCAGATCTTGGCTTGGAGTTACACTTGAAATAGAAGTATCTTGCACATCTTCTACTGTTACAGCACCCACATCTGGTCCCCTCAACGGGTCAAAGAAGTGAATATCACAGCCTCCTGCAGTCTTAGCCTACAAATTTTAAAGGCTAGGTAATCAAGCCCTATATATAAAAATGTTTCCATTCACCTCAAGGATGGTCAAGAACAATCCCTTTATTCTTTCGTAAACACAAACTGACAAGAACTATAAAATCAGGGGAGACAAGAAAAAGTTCTCATTTTTCTACACCAATACCTGAAAAATTAAATACAGTGGATGAGCATAGAACCTTTGTATCTTCAAGAACATAAACATCTATATACGTATACCTATGAATAAATATGGATGTTTAGCATATGTATCCCAGGTGTTTGTGTGAAGTGAGAGCTTACTCAGGGTCCGATGGCACAAGCTAGAAACTTATTTAAACATAAGCTAGATGTTTGTTCGGGGTAGAAATTTCACTAAACCAGTAGAAGAGCTGATTTTCAAACACAAGATTTATCCCAACCATAGTGGCAAAACTTATACGCTAAAAATCAATGGCAAATTGGCAATATAATAAGTAAATTGAATGTCAAGAGTTCAACTTTACTAAAGAGATCATTAACAGCACAATGACAAAAACATATACAATCATAATCCAATTTCAGTAAATCCCTTGCATTCCATATCCATCAGCTCTAAACAATAGATGAGAGAATATCTTGTGTGGTTCGGTAACAGAGAACAATAATGAAAATGATTACAATACAAAACCTCCAGATTTAGGGCTATAGCCATAACCAAACACACAGAAAAAATAATTTTGCCTACAGATTACCGAAAATCGCCAAATTTAACCTTTTCTTTTTTGCAGTTCTTCGAGACAAACTTCAAAGAAATCCAAACAAGTTGACAGAGAAACAAACATTGCACATAAAGCCTTCAAATTCACCAGCTATATTCATCCCAAACAGGAAAATATCACTGATTTCAACTTTCGATCAAAGTAAACCCCAAAATTCGAGCCTTCTTACTCTTTAATTTCCAAAAAGAAATCACGGAAATTTAATCGATTTGAGTTTGAAAAAGCGTAACGCAGACCTGTTGCTGTGATGCAGATGAAGAGGAAAGAGGGTGCTTCTCAGTCCTTGAACGAGGAAGCGTGTGAGACTCACTCTCGGCTCTATAGTCGCGATATCTGAATTTCAACGCCATGGTTATGCGATTCCTGTTTTCCCGTCTTTAGATCTGTATATTTATTATCAATCGTACTCCTCCTCGTTCGAGAGCCATCCCATGACTCTCTCTCTCTGATCGACTCACTATCAACTGTGGATATTACAAAAATACCGACAAGGCTGCACGTTTTTAGGGCACTTAGCTTAATACAAGGTTGGGGTTTTCTCGCTAACGCTAGTAGCTTCGGCCCACCCATTAACCCCACAAACAAGGGTGGACGGACTACACCTGGCCCAACACGCCAGACAGATATGTACCACGCATCCTTTCAAAAAAAAAATTGAAAAAGGCTTAAAAACACATTGGCCCTTAAATTTTTTAAGACACGTGTCAAGATTAAAATGAAAAAAACAAAAAAAGAAAAATTTATGACAGTTTTAAAATTAAAAAAAAAACAAAAATATAAAAAATTAGACAACAAATACAATACGATTTCTCTGGCGATTTTTGTTACGATTTCTTCTTACAATTTCGTTCTCACTTCATAATAGTAGACTCTATATACCACGTTGAACCCTCGGAATTTAATTTAGACCATCATTTGACCAGTTTGACTCGTCGCACCGTCAAACTCGTCAGATTTGTCAAACACGTCAAACTCGTCACACCCTCATGAATTTCATGAATCACAACTCTCTAAATTTAGTACCTTATTTTATTTTACAATGCATGTTTGTGACACCCGTATCCCGATTCCCGTAACAGAATGTGACACATGGACTAAAATCAATAAAATAACACTAAATTAAAAATACGAGAATTTTAAAACTTTTAATTTGTAAATACGCAGTGGAATTAAACAATGATAAAATCTCAAAACAATGCATGCCCGAATTAACAAGAGTACGAACGTACAAACGTAGGAACTGTGTTCCATAATTCAAAACATATGAAAAAGGAAACTCCGTACATGATGTTGTTGTTGGTTTAGTGCTCTATGATGTACTGTTATGCGAGCTTTACTTAGATACATTTGATGTATTGACACTTTCTATAGTTTATGGATGAGTGTTTGATTCATTACGTATTGTGCATGCTTTAACATGTTATGAAATCCATGTATTGTTATGAACAATACTAAACTCCCTAGTCATATATCATTGTGAGAATAATGATATAACAAGACTAGTATGATGTGTGATTGATGATCATATAGATGATCATAGGTATTGGATACGATCACAGTCATAGGTATTCGTTGGAGAACGAAATACTGGATGACCCGCATGAGATTGTCACATAGACTAGCGTCATGACTTGAATCTCATATGGTGGTTCCATGATTGGATCCTAAGACCTGAGATATCTACGGAATCCAACATGAGGAGTTGCGTGCTTTGAATACGTCAAACGTCCTGCGTAACAGGAGGACTATAAAGGCGTGTATCAGGTACGAAACGAATCATGTGTCGGATTGTAGATAGTCAAGACGGGATTTGTACCTCTCGTAAAAGAGAGAGATATCGTTGGGCCCCTCGTGTGAGCGAGACTGTAGAAATGTGTGGCCGCACTATAGACGAACGTCGTCTATTTCAGACAGTCGAACTCAGTGAACGAGAAAGCAGTCGAATCATATAAGGTGGCTTGTCCATGCCTTATATTCGACATATGATATCGTGATATAAAAGGATCATCAACCGGAATCATCACTGGCGTTCGTAAGATCACGAACAAACTCTATTCGAGATATAGGTAGTCATAGTGTCTTGCTAGACACCGCCTATGACTTGTATATCCGGAAAGAGATTTCGGATTATACTGCTATATCGAATGAGCCTACAGGGTCACACATGCAGGGAAGGACAAATGCAC